TTTTTTTTTTTTTTTTTTTTCCTTTTCTTATTAACTCGTCTGTTCCCGCCCCCTGTGCTGGTCACTTTTCTATACATCTATCTACATCTACCAAAGTCACTTCACAGCCGCCCTGCACCCGCAATCACTCTCCTGGCCTGCCTTCGGCTGCCGCAGTAAAGACCGTCTCTTCCCCTTGAAGGCCTCTGCATGTGCATATAAATCTCCGCGAATCGCGATCCAGTGCTACACTCCCTGGCCCAGATATCCTCGTCCCTGTCGAGACACTTCCCCAAACCTCCGGGCCTACATAATCTCGCATCGGGTTCAGCTTTTTTTTTGTTATTGTTGCTTCGCCCCTGCTAACCCTCACAGCTTGCATTAGCCTTCCTTATTTAGCTATCCATTCTCACGTTCAGCCGTTCCGTCGTCTGCTCTCAGTTATTATCACTTTTCCTTGAGCTCGACTCTCGGTTCTGGACTTGCTCTCCCTCTCTTGTCTCGCCTCTTGCAAGCATTCCTTCTAGACAGGCTGGGATCATGCCACCAGGAAGGTCAGTCCTGCTGATCGGAGATATTGCACACTGCAGAAAGGAGTGGCAGGATTTTTCGCAGCTGGCAACCCTCAAGGTCCGTGGGAACACCATTTCCCAGCTTCTGGCTGACATTCCCAGGAAAGCCGAGGAAATAAGCTAACTTTCAACATAGGAGTTCCCAACCGGATCGAGGCAGGAGTTCCTGGCCAACTGCAAAAATGGCAGATATGATGATGTGATAGCCATTTATCGGTCCAACGTGTCGACAGCTGTGTGTATCCCCCCTGCTGCCCTGCATGCTGTATTTCGTCCCCTTCCCTTGTTTTTTGGCCTCTGTGTTCCTCGTGGTGCATCTGCTCCATAACCCAGACAAGGGGGCCACTGAACACCAGGGGGACGATGCAAGATCGATCTAGCGTGGTCACCCTGCTTTCTTTTTCTTTCTTTTTCTTTTTCTTTTTTACTCTCTGCCTCACTCTTTTCCCCTGCTAATGATATCACGTTTCTCTGGGCAGATAACTGGGCCATTTGATGCAGAGCTTGTCAAGGCTCTGCCCAACTCATTAGCATACATTTGCCACAATGGTGCCGGATATGACAATATTGATACCACAGCCTGCTCAGAGCGAGGTCAGTTCCCTGGCGTTTTGGGTTTTTGCTGCTGGCGATTGCCATCAGCGGCTATCGGAACAACCCGACTAACCGAGACACAGGAATCCGCGTCTCAAGCACACCAATTGCCGTCAACAATGCTACTGCAGATATCACAATGTTTTTGATGCTTGGCGCTCTGAGACAGGCATATGTTCCGATATCCGCCATCCGGGCCGGTAAGCGGTGTTCAGCCACCTGCCCACCTGCCTATTATAACTAATCAGGCGGTCTGCTAACAGTCTCCAGGTCAATGGCAGGGAAAGACCAAATTAGGCCATGATCCCCAGATGAAGGTGCTTGGTATCTTGGGAATGGGTGGCATTGGCAGGGTATGTGTGCTCCATTTCTCTTCAGCGCCCCCGCCCCTTGCTGTTGAGAAGTTTAAACACCACAGCTCAAGGATCAACTGACAGAGACGGTCTGTTTTGGAATACGTAGGAAGTATCGCGCCGAGCCAAAGTATTTGGCATGAGGGTTATCTACCATAACCGAAATCGCCTTTCCCCAGCCCTGGAAGAAGGAGCATACTACGTCTCCTTCGACCAGCTACTGGCCCAGTCTGACGTACTCAGCCTCAATCTCTCGCTCAATGCAACCACCCGTCACATCATCTCCCATCGGGAGTTTGCAAAAATGAAGGATGGCGCGGTGATTGTGAACACTGCGCGAGGGGCGCTGATTGACGAAAAAGCGCTCGTCTCCGCTTTGAAATCTGGAAAGGTAAGGAAACCCCAGGATCAAAAGAAAGTAAAAAAAAAAAAAAAAATAAGGGGTCGCGTCCGAAGAGAGGAATGTGATGCAGCCAGTCTTAAAATCTCAAACGAACCTAAAAAAAAACCAGGCCTTTGTTGCTAACTGAGCGAGCAACAGGTGAGTTCGGCTGGGCTCGACGTATACGAGAACGAGCCGTGCATCGAACCAGAGCTGCTGGATAACCCCAAGGTGATGCTGCTCCCTCACATCGGAACCGCAACATACGAGACCCAGAAGGAAATGGAACTGCTGGTCCTCGAAAATCTGCGATCGTGTCTCCAATCGGGGAAATTGATCACGCCTATTCCGGAGCAGCGAGATGCATGGAAGAGCCAGGCCGGCACCGGCATCAGCAATTGCAATGGCAACAACAACGGCACAAATGGACGACAGAATAATGGACGCAACGGTCACAACGGACACGTATTCCATGGACACATCTAGGCCGGGAAATCATGGGAAAGATAGGAACATTCTCGGTCTTTGGTTTCATTCTCTTCTCTTCTTTTCTCTTTTTTCTTCTCTGTCTCTTTTCTCGTCTTTTCTTTTCTCTGCCTTTCAGATTTCTGTGAAAAGCAAAGGGGTTTTCCTTTTCTTTTGAGCTTGGCACATAGTGATACCTGAGCAATAATAGAATGGCGTGCAGATTGGTGGTAGTTCAAGCGATGGCACCGGCGGGCGACGGCAAGGCGGCTTCAGTGAACGTTAGCAGATTGTTGTTTGTACTTAAAACTGCCCACCACGCCTGATAATATGATAAGATACTTAATGCTTCCCATGAATGGCCCGTTCCGCATCGTTGATCACGTCGAATGTTTGATTATTTTGTTTCTTTTCGGTGTTGCGATGTTTGTTTTTTCCTTTTCCAGAAGATTGCTTATGTAATTCATTAGTAAATAATGACTAAGATGGAAATAACTGACTAAGCCGGGTGCTGACTAACAAGGCTCAACCTTAAACTTGGCTAATCCCAAAGCGGGCAACTTAGGGCTTCGCGCTTTACCCGCTGACTAAGCTCGCTTACTGCGTTTTCACGCAACGAAAAGTCGCAACAACAAAAAAAAAGAGCGACGACGACGAAGACGACGACGCAGAACCAACGACACCATCACCAACCACCGCTCGCCCTCCCACAGTCCTTCGTCAAGATGGTACGTCTGCCGCCTGAGAATCGCCTGCCCCTGTTGACGCTGCCCCGTGAAGCCTTGCTTGCGATGACGGAGATCTGGGGGAAAAAGACAGAGAACATGGACGACGAGCTGACGGGTGCTTTTTATCTCAACGTATAGGTCCGTTACGCTATCCAGCCCGCCTCCAGCGCGAAGAGCGCCAGCGCCCGTGGCTCCTATCTTCGCACCAGCTTCAAGAACACCCGTGAGACCGCCCAGGCCATCAACGGACTCAAGTTGCAGCGTGCTGTGACTTTCCTCGAGAACGTTATCGGACACAAGGAGGCTGTTCCCATGCGACGATATGCTGGCGGTACCGGACGATGTGCTCAGGGTGAGTAGCCCTTTTTACTCGATATCACTGTTTATGGGGGAAATTCTCGATTGCGCGAATGGCGGGGGAACTTTGAAGACAACGAGGAGGAGGACTACTTTTGAAGATATTGGCCATGTCAAGGGTGTACGGGGATATATGGCTGACATGTTATGTGATAGGCAAGCAATCCGGTGTCAGCAGAGCTCGCTGGCCCGTCAAGTCGGCACAGTTCCTCCTCTCCCTGCTGAAGAACGCCGAGGCCAACGCCGACACCAAGGGCCTCGACACCGGCAACCTCATCGTCAAGCACATCCAGGTCAACCAGGCTCCCAAGCAAAGACGACGAACCTACCGTGCCCACGGTCGTGTACGTAGCATGTTCATCATCCACGCCAATGGCGAGTAACCTCAATTTGACTAACGGATATAGATCAACCCCTACATGTCGTGCCCATGCCACGTTGAGATGATCCTGACCGAGGGCGAGGAAGTTGTCCAGAAGAGCACCGCAGTGTCCGCCACCAGACTCTCGTCGAGACAACGTGGCGTCCGAACCCGCCAGGCCATCACCGCATAAACGAGACGAAGGAGGAGAATCGGAACAAACACCAAATGAATAAAAAAGGAACGAACGAACGAACGTCAGTCGTCGGTCGAGACACATGAACCAATTGGTCTATGCAACCGATCTGACTGTTTGACAATGGCTTGCATGGAGGAGAAGGAAACGGGCACGAACTCACTCACGGGCAGAGCAGGAGGGGAGGAAATCACTCATGTGTCATTTTTGCTGTTTTTTTTTTGTCTTTTTTTAAAAAGCCAGCCTGGGCCTGGGTTCCGGCCTGTTCCCCTTCTTCTTCATTCAGGGCCCGAACTGATACTTACCTCACTAAATGCAGACTTGTTACAATTAATGAAAGGCGTCGGTTCCGATCTTCATTTTGTCCAGCACACTTCAGTTCATTTTGCTCTTAACCCCAAGTAACACTAATCCCTTCTCCCCTCTAATCAACGTCAGGAACAGGCAATCCATCTACGATCTTGACGTTGCGGCCCAGCTTCCTCAATGCCTCGATGGAGTTACGATCTCGCTCCTCCCGCGCCTGGGCCACGGTAGCTAGCACGAACTCATGTCTGAGCAGCGCCATGCCTGCAGGAACACCGTACTCCGCGCCCATGGCTTCGTCTACGACGCCATAATCGACTACCAGCGAGCTCTTGACACCGAACACCGCATCTGACTTTTCATACGGGTCGTTGCGCGGGTAAAGCGTTCTACCACGGTAAGTAAGTCAGGGCCACCATAAGGAAAATCGGAGAAGAACCTACGTAACGAGCCTCTCATACCCATCCGCGGCCAGAATGAAATGCATATGCGCTGGCCTCCACTGGTGTCGGCCCAGGGTGGTCAACAACTTACCTACTGGCCCATCGTCCGGCACCGGGTAAGGAACAGGCTGAATGGCACTGAACCAGAACCTGCCGCTCGCATCGGAATGAAGCACGGCTCTCCCCTCGGGTGTGTCTCGCTGGGGATACTGCACGTCATACAGTCCCGTGGAGTCAGCGTGCCATATGTCCACCTGCACGTCCTTAAGGGGTGTTCCATCCGTTGCTCGCACGGTACACAGGACGAATAGGGGCTTCCCTGAGGTGTCGTGGGATATTGCTGCTCCGGCGGGGAGGTGTTGTGCGTCGTGTGTGTGGAATGGGCCCAGGAGAGTTCCCTGGGTTGTGCCGGGCGGGGATGGATGGTCTATGGAGTCGAGCAGAGAGGAGAGGCCGATGATGTCTGATAGGAGGATGAATTCCTGGCGGGTGTCGGTGCATTTCTGGCCGGTCTGGGTGAGGAAGGTGATTGCTGCGGTCCATTCGGGGGTGGACAGGCGGGTTTCGCGAGCGAAGTCGTGAAGGTGGGTGATTAGCCGCTCGAAGATGTAGCGGGTTCGAGGGTCGGGGCAGCTTGAGTTGGTCTGGGTGGTGTGCGCGGTGATGTTGTCTACTGAGAGGTCTGACATGGTTACTATTTGGTTGTGGTTGTGGTTGTGGTAGTTGGTAGATGGTTAGATGTTAGATGTTAGATGTTGCTGGTTAATATATCTATGACCCCTTAGAGACAGCCTGTACAACGTCTCCGGGTATGCAGTTGACCCCGCAGTGATTAGTGATGAGATGCCGGAGGAAGAGACAGGGATATGATCCTTTCTAGCATTTGAGAAGCTGTGGTGCATAGGCCGGCTATAGTATGAGGTATGAGGAGGGCTTGAGTTTGAGTGTATGAGCAGAGAAATGTATTCACAAGAAGCTGAAACTGAACCTGAAACTGAAGCTGAGCTGAAGCTGAAGCTGAAAAATGGATGAGAAGCTAGAAAAACCAATCAAGTACACCGTACATCGTAAACGCTCTCGCTATAAGGTGGAAAAAAAGGGGAAATAAATGTGACCAAACAAGTAGATAAGGAGTAATAGGCAGATGAGATGTCAAGTGGGTGTGGTATAAGATTATCGAGCCTCAACAACATGGCTAGTCCCTCTCTCGCGGTTCTTTTCTCTGTCTCTATCTTTTTCTCTCTGCTGCTGCTGCTGCTGCTCTTGTTGTTGCTGTTGCTGGGTCCTCTCGCGCTCAGCAGTGCGTTGTCTGTGGTGGTCAAAGGTGTCCATGATAGCTTGTGCAAGGACATCACTAGAGTCATCATCTAGTCTTGTGCTGGCGTTCCTATCATGTCTCTGGCTATTTCTACCACTGTTTGTGGTGCCGTTGGTGGTATTTGTGGTTATAGTAGTTGTAGCGGTGGTAGTGGCAGGTCTAGCGGGACTGTTCTTGCCTCTATCATCGGGGGCAGAGGTAGAGGCCGAGACATCTTCACTAGCATCTCTGTCCTTTTCGCGGGTAGTAGTGGTGGTAGTAGTAGTGGTGGTAGTGGCAGCATCCTGGCTGGCTGCGCGGTCCTTGCGGTGGTCCTTTTGTAGTTCTTCCGCCTTGACGTCGCGCCAGGAGCACTTGGCATGTTTCTTTGTGCAGCCCATGCACGCGGTCAGGTTCTTAAGACAGTGCATGTTCAGTCTTCTACATCTATCACAGGGTGGCAGGATACGTTCTCCTCTGGCTAGGTCTTCCATGCGGGCGACCATGGCAGCCTTGAAGGGCGCCGTCTCGTCGCGGTCATGAGAGGGAGTTGGCTTTGGATGCGGGAGTAAGGAAGAAGGGGTGCCTGGAATGGGTACGGGAGGGATCGGGGAGTTGGCCTGTCCCGGGAACGGCGAGGAGGAGGACTGCTGGTCTGAGTCTGGGTGGTGGTCGGTCTGCTGCTGCTGCTGTTTCTGCTGGTGCATGCGTCTGTCGGAGGTGGTGAAGAACTTCTTCATGAGCTCCGCGCGGGTACTGGGGGATGCGCCCTTGATAGAGGTCCCGTTGATGATGGTGACGTTGTCTGAGATGGGCTGGGAGAAGGCAAACTGCGCTGGTTCGTCGTGGTAGGAGGAAGGGTCCTGGCGGGAGTTGACAGCGACGAAGCCGGGAGGGGATGCGGTGCGAGACTGTCCATGGCCGTTAGGAGTGGTGCTGTCCTTCCAGGGGCTGATGGCGCGGGTCTGCGAGAGAGCGAGAGAGGCGTCGTTTTCCCGCCTGGAGACGATGGCGTTGCGTCGGTTTTTCAGCCGGTGATTGAGCTGTCTAGCCCTAGCCGATACTACAAACTGTTAGTACAAAGGGTATGTATATAAGGCAAAGTCTAAAGGAGAGAGACCTACCCTGATCGGCAAGCTGGATGATGTACACCAGGTTCTTCTCGAGTATCTCGAGGGCACCCAGCTCCTTCTCCTCGTCCTCGCTGATGGGCTGCGGCGGGATCATCTTCTGCGGCATGCCAGACGCAATCAGGACATAGTCCTCCTCGGAGATCTCGACGCGGGCATGCTTGATGTCCAGCTGGCAGACCCGCGAGCCACTCCGGGCCTTTTCGAGGGTGAACTTGTCCGGGAACTCCTTTGCGAACTCGACGATGTCCAGCCACGAGACGGTGGTTTCTTTAGCTGTTGTATCGCCGGCCGCACCACCAGCACCTCCAGCATTACCAGCACCACCACCACCACCGCTGGCCGACGCAGAGGCCGACCTGATGACGCGCGGAGGCCCGTCAAAGAGCCGTTCGAAGCGCTTGACGAGGATGGGGCCGAGCGGACAGGCACCCAGGTTGCCGGCGATGGACTCGTGGCGGTGCAGCACGCCGTCGTACTCGCCTATCCAGCGGAGGATGGCGGGCAGGGTGTCGTCCGTGGAGACGAGCGGGAGGGTGTCGGAGTACTGGCGGGCGAGGTAGTTGATCTGGAGGTGCTGGTGAGGGTGAGGTTGCTGGTGAGGCTGGTGGTGCTGGTGAAGGGGAGGGTGAGGGTTAGTAGGGTGTGTGGTCTTGGGCTGTTTCGCAGGGTGGTCGGAGGTGCTGCCGCCGCACGGCGAGCGAGGGCGTTTGGGGTCCATCATCCGCTTGCGACCGTTAGCTGCGAGCCTCTATGTTCATGTCGATAGTCGTGAGAGTCTTGAGAGTGGTGAGAGTGGTGAGAGTCTGAGTCGTGGGAGTCGTGGGAGAGTAGAAGTAGAAGAGGTGAGGCCGGAGCACGGGAGGAGCGGCAGAAAAGAGCAAAAAGGCAAAAAGGGAGGGCGGGAGTCAGTCCAGAGCCAGAGAGAGAGAGCAAGAAGAAGAGAAGAGAAGACCGTCGGTATCAGCCTAACGAGGAGGCCGACGCACGCAGGAAAAAGCAACGAGCCGCACACACACTCACACTCACACTCGCACCTCGCTCACACACACACGCAGTCGTCCGCGGGCCTGCAGCGAGGAGAGGAGACGCAGGATGTGCGGCCTACGCAAGCATTGGAAGCAAGCCAGCAAGCCAGCCAGAGGAGATGCGGCCGATGGAGGGATGGATGGATGGGCCGCCCGGCTGTGCACCACGGCTACCCAGGCGAGATCCCGTCTGGCTGTCTGGCTGTCTGTCCTCGCTGGCCGTCCCTTGTCCCTCGTCCCTCGTCCCTCTGCTGCTGCTCTGCCGTCCTCCCCGGTCCTCCTCGTTGCTTTTTCTGCTCGCCCGTCTCGACCTCGCCGTCGCCTTTCAACCTCGCCGGCCGCCTCTGCCTCGCTCTATCTCTACTATGTGGCTCTGCCTCTCTGCCTCTGCCTCTACTTTTGCCTTTGCGGCTCCAGCGGAATCCGCCTTTCCGCCCGAGAGCAGGGGCGGAGACACGTGATGTCATGTGATGGGAGGAACCTCGGAGGGACTTAAAGCGGCGGCAGAAAGTGGCTGGAAAGGGAAGTACCGCGAGGTACCTCTGATGGAACACCCTGAAGTCATACGCAGTACAGCAGATGCAGGGCGATGGTGGTGGTGGTGGTGGTGGTGGTGCAGTCAGGCAGCCCTGCTGAGAGTGAAGCAGTCTAAAGTAGTCCAACAGTAATATCACTCTGTGGTCTGTAATCTGTACTCACTGTAGACTCTGTAGTCGCTCTGTAGTCGCTCTGTCGGTATGCTCGATTCTCAACGGCTTCCGTAGACTCTTGCTGCTTACTAAGTCTTTATCACGTGATATTAACGTCCACTTAGTCAGCAAGTCAGCTTCGACGTCAAGAAAGTCGACGGCCAAAAGAAGGAAGGAAGTTAGTTATAGAGCAAAGACAAGAAGAGAATAAAGACAGCCAGCCTCAACTCAGGCCATAACGACCTTGCCCGAGGAGGATACCGACTCTTACATCTTGACTCTTGGACTGTCCATACACAAGCTGATACCCCCCACACATACCAACATATTCACACAATTCACAAAAAAGAAAACAACATACCAAAAAGAAAAAAAACAATAAATAATACCAAAAAAAATACCACAATACCATGTCTGAACGAGGCTCTTTTAGAGGAGGACAGTCTCGCGGTCGGGGCGGAGGAGGCCGCGGGGACGGACGGGGGCGTCACCAGGGCCAGCACCGGGGAGGCCATGGCCAGAGCCAGCGGGACGGACAGAGAGACGGGGGCCAGCAGCGAGACGGACAGGGCCAGCAGCAGCAGGAGAAGCCCAAGAAGGAGAACATCCTTGACCTGACCAAGTACATGGACAAGGAAGTCAACGTCAAGTTCAACGGTGGCAGAGAGGGTGAGACTGTGTTTTTTTCTTTCCACTGTGGATGTGCGAATGCTGACTGGTGCTTTTAGTTACCGGCGTGTTGAAGGGGTATGATCAGCTCATGAACCTCGTGCTGGATGATGTCAAGGAGACCATGCGGGGTAAGGCAGTACATTTACATTTTAAAGAAGTACCTGTTTCTATTTTTGAGTATGTTTGCTGACTGGCTGGGGTAGATGATAATGATAATGTAACGACTCGCTCGCTGGGGCTGATCGTGGCGAGGGGGACGTTGTTGGTGCTGCTCTCGCCCGCGGACGGGAGCGAGGAGATTGCCAACCCTTTCGTGCAGCAGGAAGACGAATAAAAGAAGTAGTACTACTACTTACTACCTTTCATCACCTATAGTTAATCTAAAGTCGTTGCATCTACTGCATTCAATGGTATTGATATGTAGTTGATTCATTCTTGATATAAGCACTAGCAGAGTCAAAGGCTAGATCGGTTCCGGGCGGGTCAGATATATATAAAACAAACAATTGCCATATCCCAACTGCCATCCATCCATCCACCCACTCTTCTCTTTCTCTCTACCTACCAACCAACCGTTCTTGTAGTATACCTTTTAGATACCTTTTTTTAAAAAAAAAGTTTTCTAGGTAGTCTCCTTACCTCCTCTTCATCAAGGCCTGAAAGGACATCTCAACGCCCTTCTTCAGCTCCTTGTAGCTAACTACAAAACAGCTCTGCTCGTCCCGGCTGATCAGCGTCACTTTCTCCTCGCTTCCCGCGTCAAGCTTGTTCAGACACGTCAGCACATGGCCCAGGTCGACCACGGGTGCATTCTGGCTGTCCACCTGGTGAAACACGTAGTCCCGAAACAGCTTCAGGAAGTACCGCTCGCCGTTCTCGGACCAGTGCCGGTCGTGGTCGTATTCGGGCCGCTCGGTGATGAAGTTGAGCTTGGTCAGCAGCCGGACTAGCCGCGCGTTTTCGAGTTCCCGGCTAAGATCGTGCGTTAGCTCGTCGTCGACGTGCAGGGATGAGTCAAAGGTCGAGATAAGCTGCGTCGAGATGCCGGTGATGAACACGTCGATGGTCCGGTCGGAGCCCTGGTTCGCATTCGGGTTTGCATTTGCGTTGGGGTTCTGGCTCTGGTTGGCGGGTTGGAGTTGGCCTTGGGGTTCCTTGGATGGGCCGGCGCCTAGCAGCCACAACACCGAGTTGTACAGTTGTGCGCTGTAGGCGCGGGAGAAGTGCTCTAGCGCCTTGGTAGGGTTGTGCGCTAACGAGCTCGCTCCAAGTGTGAGTATTAGCTGGCCGAAGCTGACCATGTCGTTGCTTTGAAGGTCCGCAATGGACCGCTGGGTGTCGTGCTGCACCACGTCCAGGATGGCACAGGCGTTAAGGCGGATGCGATTTTTGCCCGTCAGCAGTATTTTGCTGGCGTCGATCACCCGTGCGGCCAGCCCGGCGCTGTGGATGGCCTTTAGGGCCGATGCGATCTGTGTCACGTACCCCCAGAGCACAGGCTCTGTTACATGCGTGCTCGCGTGCCGGTTCTGGTACCGCGTGGGGCTTTCCAGGTGCTGCTCGGCCAGCGTCTTGGACAGCGGGTGGTAGTCCGTCACGAAGATCAGGGAGCTGTCCTGGAAGCTGCGGTTGGTAAAGGCATCGTGCACCGTCACCACGCTGGCAGAGATGACCCTTTTCCATGCCTGCACGCATCTGATTGCCTTTTCGTTTGTTAACCGGAAGCCTTTTGAAGAAGTTAGCTTTGGACTCTTCTATCAGTAGATTAACGTATATATAACATACCCTCCAGCCTTCGAAGCACATAGTAGTTGCCGTCTTTACTTGACTGTGCCTTATATACCCAGCTAGGGTAGCCGAAGATAGTAGCATTCTTCTGATGCGTTACGTCAAGCGGCACAAGAGAGTGAAAGTGGTCGATTTGAGTAGGTAGTTGGGAGTCTAACCAGCAGTCAGTAAAACAAACTCTGAATAAAATATAACAGTTTATAAACGTACTAGGAAGGGTTTGTAGTGTTGCGGCTGCCTTCTTTTGCAGCTCTTCTCTAAAGTCATTCGGGATAAATAAGTCATGTACATTCCGCTGATATCCAAGAATGTTTTGGTTATGAGGTCCAATCGGGGCATAGAGATGATATTGTGCCTAATTTCTCCATCAGCACTACAATTTACTGAGTAAGAAGAAGAAGAAGTGTGTTTCACGTACTGGTTGCTGAAAGGTACTTTGGGCGGTGAAATATGAGGTGGGACCGATGCCGGTGTGGTCGTGAGCGTAAGGGTTCGGTTGAAGCGGGTGTGTGACAACCGCTCCGGCAGTGGCTAGCGGAGTCGTCGTCGAGACAAAGGGGTCATATGCATTCCCAGTGGCCAGGACACCGTTGTTGGTGGCCTGCATCGAGTCCTGCGCAATTAGTACCTTAGTAAACGGCCCCGTCCCGATTATAAGCTGGAATTGAAATAGGCAACATACCACAGTATCAAACCGCTGTGGCACAAAGTCAGGTACATCCGTCAAACCCCATTCCGGAGTCCCGGTCTCCTGACGTAGCTGTGATATTCCCGAGTTTGCACCTGAAAGCGGTCAACAGTCAGTCTACTTCTCTCTTTACATATGCCTAAGCTTTGACGTACGTGAGAGTGACCCCTTGGGAAGAAAGGGCGCTGCACCGGCAGCCTTTGGAGACAGCGTAGCCGGCTTCTTCGCCGTGACTGCTGAGGTCGGAGCTGTGCCGTTGTTCGGCGTGGTCGAGGGAGTGAAACTGGGCGACTCAACATTCAACCGTTTCTGCTTGACGCCGGCACCACTGCTACTGGAGGCCAGACATGAGCTATCTGAGCTTCAGAAAAAATGCATTAAGAAAACGCATAGAATCATTGAATATTCATCTCTCCCAACCTTTCATGTTGCGCCGCATTCACCTTCTGCGGGTCATGGTTAAACGCGCATCCTAAACGCATGGTTAGAAACCCATCGTGGCTTTCAGGGGGAGGGTTTGTGAGTTGGGGTCGGGCTGAGCTGGGCTGGTCTGTTGTCTTGCAAGTGAACGAAGACGGTCGAGTTGCACACCTTTATCCTCATATCGACACCTGCCATAGATCGTCACATTGCGGCAGAGCGTATCCTTTGCGTTTTCTACCACTGATCGGTCAGTCACAACAGACGAGATTAGACAAGCTGCTCTTTATTATAATAACAAACGAAACGAATATGCGGAGGAGGAGAGGAAGGGTAAGGGGTGTTGCTTCGTCGCTGCAGCTTACCGCGCCCTTTCAGCTTTGGAGAGCCATTGGTACGTCTCCCGTCCTCGAGTCCCGGTTTCGCTATTGATGCCATTTCCTCCACAGATCACAGCACACGCAAGTCAGCGCGAGAGAGGCCCCATCGGCTTTGGCTGGGGGGTAGCAGATCGTAGACGAGAGATCGATGGGCGACTCCGCGCATTCCTTTAAGCTGCTTGGGGGGGTGTGGGCGCTGGCTGGCGCGGGCGCGGGAGAGCGGCGAAACAGTCACTGACGTCTTTAACTCCAGGCACTGCGCCAATGTTCCGGATGCAGACCGGCCCAGGCAGTATCAGACGTCGGCGGCGGACAGGGCACCGACACACACGGCGAGCAGAGAGCGACTCCGGTCTTCTGGCGTCCGTTTCGGCGTGCTGCTTCGACTTTGATATCGCTCGCTTTCGCTGCGAGAAGTTCGAGATGTTCCTTTTTCCTTTTTCCCATCGCTTATGTAATGACATATACCGTACCATTACATCGGTACTCGCTGGATACTAGTCACGTGTCTGTTATATTACGCAACAGCCTTACGATACATGCGAACCGTGGCTTTTGGGAGCTTTTTTGGATTTCATCATAAGTCAAAGTCGAAGGCGAAGACGTCAGAAGAGCAGCTGAAGCGGCGCAGCGAGGACGAAGACGAGCGCTGGCAGAGTCTAGGAAGAGTTACTTGGCCTTGCTAGTCACCGCTGAGAGCTACTTCGGTGTCTAGAACATCCCAGAGTACGGGACTCACAGCTGTCTTGTCGCCTGCTTACAGCCAGGGAATAAAGCACACGAGCAGTGGCGGATGAGCAGCTCGACCACCTCGAGATAACATGTCCGGAGACGATGGAGAGGGCGCCCAGCTCTCGACAAACCAGGAGAATACGCTGCAGACATATCTGGCTGTGACGGGCCAGGACCGAGAGGCTGCTATTCCGCTGCTCAGGCGCTCAGAATGGAACGTCCAGGTAGGCTGACACCTTTTTGCTGCCCGAGCAGAGACGGGGGCACACTAACAGACGATATACTGATGGGTGATATAGATTGCTATAACCAGATTCTTCGATGGGGAAGCTCCAGATCCCGTCGAGGAAGCTCGAGCAGCCATGGATTCTTCCGGGGTACCGCCTCCTATACCGCAGACTCGAGAGAACCTCATGGCTTCGGACCTGTACTCGAGCTCGAACATACTATCAGCCATACGACAGGCCGATCCAGCCCCCCGGATAACGTCTCAGCCGAACGATACCCCTCCATTCCGGCCGCCGTTTCTACTAGCTCTCCTGTTTACTCCATTTAATCTAATATATAGGCTGCTCTCTGGCTCCCTCCGCCTATTCGGAACATTACTCCCCTTCCTACCTCGCCTATTAAATACCTTCTCCAGCTCGGCGATGTCGAGAATTAATAAGTCTTCTCAGGGGAGAAGAGCTCTTGCTCCAAAGGATACAGCAGCCCGGTTCATTCGGGAGTTTGAGGAAGAATATGGGCCTCACTCACTACCGTTTCTTGAAAACGGATATAACATGGCTCTTGAGAAGTCCCACAAGGATCTCAAGTTTCTTCTAGTCGTTCTACTCTCTCCGGAACATGATGACACCGACGTCTGGGTGCGGGACACCCTGCTCTCCCCGGAGGTGGTTACATACATAAACGACCCTTCAAACAATGTGCTTCTCTGGGGTGGAAACGTCCATGACTCTGAATCATACCAGGTGGCCAACTCGCTCAAATGCACAAAGTTTCCCTTTGCAGTAGCCATTGCTCATACCCCCAACGTCTCATCCACCGCCATGTCGATCATAGGTAGGATTCCAGGCCTCACCTCTCCTTCCGAGTTCCTTGAGAAGCTCCGTGCTGCTACAAATCAGCACAAGGCCTCTCTCGACCGCGTCCGTTCCACGAGAGCAGAGCAACAGGCGTCACGGACGCTGCGCCAGGAACAGGACTCTGCTTATGAACGTTCCCTAGCCCAAGATAGAGAACGAGCAAGACAGCGACGTGAGGCTGAGGCCGAGCGTGAGCGTCAGGAGCGGGAGGCCAGGGAGCAGCAGGCCGCTGCCGAGAAGCATTACAAGGACCTCCAGCAGTGGAAGAAATGGAGAGCACAATCTATACCTGCAGAGCCATCTGCAGACAACAAGGATGCGATCCGTATCAGCCTTCGCTTGACTTCGGGAGATAGGGTCATACGACGCTTCTCTGGTGATGCTGATATAGAGGAAGTCTACGCGTTCGTTGAATGCTACGACGTACTACACCCAAGTGAGGAGGACAATGCCAACAAGGAAGACGAAAATAGCCCATCGGAAGTTACAGAGCCAGAAAACTTCGAACATAAGTATGGGTTCCGTCTTGTCTCGCCTATGCCTCGTGCTGTATATGAACTTGAAGCTGGAGGGACGGTAAGGGAGCGAATCGGCCGAGGAGTTAACCTTCTCGTTGAGAGTATCGAGGACGATGAAGAGGACGAGGACGAAGATGACGAGTAATGGGTTGGTATAACGGTTACTGGGCTCACTTTTATCATAATAGAGACAATATGCGGTCCAGGTGGTTACTCTGGAGTTGTCAGGGAAATGTGAATACAACATCGAATACTTAATGCATTATTATCATCTCTCATTCCGTCATTGTCACAAATGTGCCTTTTTGTTTCCTCAAATTTGCTAGATTAGCCGCAGAAATCCTGGATAAGCGCAGATATCACGCCCTCTGTCCTCTGGATGCTCTCAACATCAACCCACTCATACTCTGAATGCAAGCCAGCGCCAGACTGGCCGAATACAATTGACGGAATTCCTGCATCATGAAGCAAAGCTGCATCTGTCCAGGGATCCAGGGCCTGGAACACACAGGGATTTCCATATACCTTGCCGGTAGCATTATACACACACCGCGTAAAGGGATGATCCTTCGCAATCTCAAATGGAGCTTTGTGCGCGACGACCTGCGGAGGCCGGTACTTGAACCCAACGACTCGCTTCTTGATCTTGGCCAGGATATCATTAACATCAGCCAATATGCCCTCTTTAGTTTGAACAGGGATCGTCCTGAATTCAATTGTCATCTTGCATGAGGCAGGGTAACTGTTCGGTTCAATCCCGCCCTTGATCAAACTGGCGTGTAGAGACGCTCTGCCTAAATCACTATCCTCCGGCAAGCTGGATTCGTATTCTTTCAGGGCTGTTAGGAAGTATCCCGAGAGTAGAATTGCATCTACCCCGTCGTCAGGCCTGGATCCATGGGCAGCAACGCCCAATATCTCTATTTCCAGCCACGTCATCCCCTTGTGTGCATGGGCGATCATTTCTAGCGTTGGTTCGACCACGATAGCTCCATCGGCACGCCAGCCCGCTTTGAGTATCTCCTTGGTGCCAATGGACGAGTACTCTTCGTCTGCAACGGCTGCTAATATGACGTCTCCTCGGGGTGGAGGGGAAGATGTTTTGGCCATTGCCAGGGCAGCCATTGAAGCTGCAATGCCAGCCTTCATGTCTAGCGTTCCACGTCCTACCACCCTCTTGCGTCCGGCAGAGGATACTGCTAGCTCTCCTGAAAGGGGGTCAAGCCCAGATGAATAGCTGTCCAGCGTAACGGTGTCGATATGGCCATTCATCATCAGGGATTTACCTCCGCCACTGCCTCGAAGGACACCTATCACCGAGGGCCTACCAGGAGTACCCTCTAGCCGATGAGCTTCCAGGTCTCGATGCTCTAGCCAGGCAGTGATATAGTCCGCTATCTCACCTTCTCCAACACCACTAGGGTTCGTCTCAGATGGATTAGAGGAGTTGATCTGAGTCAAAGTTTGGGTTAATTCAACACAATCATCTGAAGAAACGTCCCTGGGTGTATTATACGGACGACTTCCTTCTGTCCCGAGAATAACAACAACAGAATCGGAAGTCAGACCGATACAGGATGGGTTTGTCTTTGCAACATGTCGTAGACCAGATAGACCAGCAGCACCGCAAGGTCCAACATTAACCCCCTTTGAGCTTAGGTACTGAACTCCCTGATGAGCCTCGTAGTCAGAGATAGTCACGCTGGCATCGACTCCGGACTGCAGTATTGGCCATGCAATAGACGAGACAGTTCCGCATTCCATTCCGCTCATTATCGTCTTTGATACCTTGACCTGCGTCATCTTTCCGGCCTTCAAACTCTTGTGCAGACAAGCAGCAACATCCGGCTCGACAGTAAGAACTGACATTTCCTTTCCATTAGTCTTGCAGTGAGACACCACAGCCTGGCAGAGGGATCCCACGCCAGCGGGCGACACTATAACCGTAGCTTTCAACCCTTGATCCTGCAGTTGGTCGTCAATTTCAGTCAACATCGTAGAGTAGCCATCGACAATCCAGGCAGGGATCTTCTCGTAGCCCTCAAAAGCAGTATCCTGAACCAAAATGAAATTAGGGTATTCATCTGCCTTTTTCGCAGAAGCAGAGATCGCATCGTCATAGTCTCCCTCGACAACGGTGACCGTCGCCCCTTCACCGGCTATCAGGTCCCGAGTGTGTTGGTCCAGATTCTTGCCAACGAAGATCTCAGAGGATATCCCCAGTATCTTCGCCATTCGGCCAACGGCCCGTCCATGGTTGCCATCGGTCGCAGCCAGCAGTTTGATACGAGCACTGGCGGCGGCACGGGAGAGCTCATCTAGAGAGGGGCTGGACAGCTTTAGATGTGACGACACAGCCAGGTAGGTAGCCCATGAAGCACCCAGGATCTTGAACGACGGGAGACCTAGGCGGCTGCTCTCATCCTTGATGAAGACCTTGGACACTCCGATCTCCTTTGCAAGCCTGTCTAGAGAGACGAGTGGGCTTGGTTCGTATGATGGTAGAGATTGATGGAATTGCTTCTCTGCGCCCGCCACCTCGCGGTCAAGCCTGAACTGCTTCGCATTTGGGTTGTGATAGATGGAACGGCGAGCCTGAGCCATCTTGGACAGCTGGATAGACAAGATCTAAGTGTAGTGAAAGACGCTGTGAAGTTAGATCTGGCGTATAGTTAGGATACTCAATGCTAACTATATATACTGGTCGAAATGACGCCCTGTGC